TCAGTAGAATTTACAGTGCAGTTCTGTGCATGCATTCATAGAAGTTAGGTCCCACTGTGTACACGGGGCTACCGGTAACTTTCAAGTAAAGTGTGCTTAAGATTGCTGTCTTAAGTCTTCCACCAAACACACCGTATTTTGTTAGACAATATATAATGTGCTGACCTTAGGTTCTATGCTCCCATAGTCTCAACCAACAAGATAATTTGGCCCTCACACTCAATTAGCGTTCAGGTTAAAGTTTGCTTAGATACTACTTGTAGCAGAAACCTCCATTGTGTAGCACACAAAGCTATTTCGTGCATGGTACAGTAACACACCAGAAAAGAATTAATCTGAGGAGGAAAGCAGAAGATGGTTTCCTCTCTGAGCTGCGTGCCAAATGGAAAAGAACTCATAAGCAGGTTACTACAAAGAACAAGATAATTGCTCCCAGCTTATGTGAATGACCTGGCAGTACCTCTTGGGATGCTGAGTTAAAGTGATTATCTTTACATAAAGGAACTGCTGGGAATTCTAAAAGAATGTTGAATCTTTGGATTTGAATGTTAAGAAAAGCATATGATACCACAGGTAATTTAGTCAAAAATGATAGTCTGGTGTATGAATGTATGGTACTTAATCGTGATAGTCATTGATGCATCCATCAAAACAAGTCAAAATGTGGATAACCAAATGCAGTAATGTTGAAATCACAGCAGTATAGAGCAGAGGTGAGCAGACTTCAAGCTGGGCAGATCTACTTTATTTTTAAAATTGTGACTGCAGGAAGGCTTCTGTTCACTTGCAATTTTGGACCAGGGTGCCTCTGAGCATATGCGCAGCCCAGTGACATTCTCATTACCAGAACTGAACTCAGTTCTTTCACACGCAGAAGTTTCAAAACCTGAGTGTTTTTTTGTCAAAGCAGCCTATTTTTTAAAAAAACAACTAAACTGTCACTACTATTTAAACCTCAGAGAGTCAGAAACTCTTGTCGATCTACTGCAAACCCTACCAGCATAGTCAGATCTACCTTCTTCTTGCCCCAAACACAGAGCAAGTATCAGAGTAAAAACACAGGAAAAACAACTCCACATCCAAATACTTTGACAGACTATAACATTTGTTCACAGAGTTTCCTTAATAAACAAAACAAAATAAAGAATATAAAGATATCAAATAACTGAAGGAATACAATGTTCAGAGTCACAGAGATACAATAGATGTTTGTGCATACTAATCTAACCATTATAACACTTTAGTTAGTTTAAACATACTAAGAAAATCAGAGATTTTATCATCTAGCTATTCAAAGGCTAGACTATGATCTCCAGTGCACTTGTGCTGGCTCAGGACATATGAAGCAGATGATTCTATGCCAACTTATGTACATTTAGGACAGCAGCCAAGATCTATAAACATCTATACTAAGAGCCAGCACTGCTTTTATCTGGCACAAACAGGTGAATTAAGGTCAGGAAGGACCCCGAATCCATTTATTTTCACATCTGCAAATATTGAAGTTAGTGACTATTTTCGAATGCAATCAGATACTTCTCTAGGGACAAATTCCATTGGACTTAACGGGGCACTTCTAAGTATATATACGTTTAGGATTGTGCTGTTAATCACTGCACTGTCTACAGCTCAATCAATCCTCCAAAGTTCATATGATTGGCTTTACCAAAGCCTTTTATTATTTTCAAACAGGCTGTGGAGAGATTGGGGGGTCATCTAGAAAATGGCATGGAAAAGAGTATAGTTGCTAACAGGAGGCGCACAGCCAAACCTTTGGTTAATGATAAGCTAAAAATCATTCTTGCAGTTCAGCAGATCATCATAACAGTAATCCTTTTCTTAGGCTTTGGCTAGGACCCAAAGATCCATGTATCATGTTCCGTGATCCCAAGGAACGTTAGGCTTACTTTCTTGGAACAGCAGCCCTCATGGCACATAGCAAAAGGAGTTTCATACATCAGTTTGTGAGATAGCATAGGATATAGCTATTCCAATAAAATAAACTTGTAAAAAATGCACTGTGAAGTCTTTTGGATCATAGTCCCTCCCAGCAACATTCTGGCCTTTCCCTCTTATTCCGCAACTTTTAAAATGGCTGTTTGGCATTTGCACATAGCTATTTGATAAAACACACTAGAAGATCAGCACCCCTTCCTCTGGTGCAGGGTGACTACAAACGCCAGCATTTATCTAGAAAATAAAATTCACCTTTTGAATTTCAACAAGAATCTTCAGAAATTATACCAATTTAAATGCCCGACAGGCACGATTGGTGCTTACCTTTATACCAGAAAAGAAGACACAGAACCACACTTCCTATCTTGAAATGCATCTTTATTTTCTTTCACCTTTCAGCTATGGCTGCTTATTGTGTGGCACAGCTTTCTCTGCTGAGATTAAGTTAAGCATAGTCTCGTTAAGCATCTTCCTCTTTTAGCTCTTAGGGGGTTTACCCAAGACACACTAATTCACTACAGTAAGCTACAATCAGCTTTGAAGGAAATATCAAGGGTAATGGTTCTTCTAAGCATCACAAAACATTGATTTCTTTAGAAACGGTTACCAACCACTTAATATTTTTAAAATTTCAAAGTGGTATTCAAGTAAAATAAAAATTCATTAAAAAATATAAAAGGATATATACTGATGGAACAGGAATTAGGGGATTCAAACACACAAAACATGGTTAAATCTTCTGGGTCTGACAGGTCCTTGACATGTGGATAATGTGAAAGGTCTAGGATTTTTATCTTTCTTTAAGGTTTTCCCTTAACAAACACACATTGCTCTGGAGATGATACACGCAGCAGCTGAAATTAATATGCATCCGCTTAAGAAATTTAATGGACCCACATAAAATAACTTGCCATTTGAATGGAAGCAGTTTAGAATGTGTTTTACAGATTAGAACATAATGCCCCCCACTCCCACCCCCCAGGAGGCAAAAGGGGATGGACCTCCCTTGTACTCTAGGTTAGCTTTAATAAGCCATGATGGAGAAGGCTCTAACAAGCAGGTGGCCAGATGCACCACAAAGTATCCTGACTCCACATTGACAGACTGCATTAACAGGAACTGATCCCATAACTCTGGATTAAACGTTGAGTTGGACACCTTAGCTGTCACAACAGCAGCATCAGCCTTGCTGTGGAGCCGAGTGACTTTATCCTCAAAGTGTTAAGGTTAGATACTGGATTGGTTGTGTCAACGGCCCTATGCTGCCTAAGAAGGTTGCAGGAGGAAGAGACACCATGTAGACTACCCAGAGCAACTTGGAGAAGGAAAGTTATAAATGTAATACACAGAAATAAGTATTATCATTTATTCAATTTATATAGTGATGTATGGAAATGAGAGCTGGACCATAAAGAAGGCTGATCGCCGAAGAATTGATGCTTTTGAATTATGGTGCTGGAGGAGACTCTTGAGAGTCCCATGGACTGCAATAAGATCAAACCTATCCATTCTGAAGGAAATCAGCCCTGAGTGCTCACTGGAAGGACAGATCCTGAAGCTGAGGCTCCAATACTTTGGCCACCTCATGAGAAGAGAAGACTCCCTGGAAAAGACCCTGATGTTAGGAAAGATGAAGGGCACAAGGAGAAGGGGACGACAGAGGACGAGATGGTTGGACAGTGTTCTCGAAGCTACAAACATGAGTCTAACCAAACTGCGGGAGGCAGTGGAAGACAGGAGTGCCTGGCGTGCTCTGGTCCATGGGGTCACGAAGAGTCGGACACGACTAAACAACAACAACAAAAATACACAGTAATAAGTACATACATTTCCACTTTGCTTAAGTTTGCCAAGACTCGTATCTACAAAAACAAATTAGCCATGGTTAGGAATGTCTGATTATTATTTTTTTAAAAAAATTGATTAAAGATTATTTTGCATTTTGGTTGTGATCCTTGTATAATCGTTCTTCATTCCAAAGGCAGAGATACCTTTCTTACTTCAGTACGGCTCTTAATTCAGTAGCAACTGTGTATACTTGCCCGTCGTTCTTTTCAGCATACTGTATACAGTATAGTATGATCACACATGAGCACAATGTACCATTTTGTCACAGAACAGTCCCAGATGAAAAACGATCCCTTCATCCATGCCATATGGCTTGACCCTCCCTGCAATCCAGCCTCCTTTCTCCAATCTATTTTTAAACCTCTGTATCATCGTGAAAACAGATCACAACTGCATTTCGCGCAATGGTGTGTTGCATAAATATAAACACTGGCACACGACTCTGAGCTAACCTGATTTAGGAAAATTTCATCCTTCAGGCCCATTCACAAAGAATCCCTAAAGAACCAGAGAAAAAACGCAGTCTTGCCCCCTTCAGTTCTAGCAGAGTGCTGTTCTTTCAATAACACTTGAAGCCACCAATACAGTGAGAAAAATACAAATCTAAAAAAAGGCCAGAGAGCAAAGGGCGTGATGTCATGTGAAGGGACGCTGAGCGAACGCGTGTTGTGCGTTTCCTCAAAAGCATGTACCATATAGGCCTTACTCCCTTTATAAAAGCGTGTTTAGGGCTGCAGCCTCGCTGATCTTAAAATGCAGAGCCTGGTGCAGCAGTATAGTTTTCAATCAACCTGTCCGTCCCCCGTCCCCCGTCCCCCCGCTTCCTCCCTCCTCTTCCCAGGAATACGTGATCTTATGAAACAGGGAACACCCAGAGCAGCCTTTCTTTGTCGCATCCGCGTGGGACGCGCCTCCTGCGAGCTTCCTCGCCTCCCCCGCATCCTTGTCGAGGCTGCTCTGCATTTCTGCCGCACAGAGCCGAAGCGTGGGCGGCGGCAGCAGCAGCCATGCAATGAAGGCAGGCGCGAGCAGAACCGCGCTGCTTTCGGCCGCCTCCCGCTAGTTCCTTTTCGGGGTGCGATTCCCTTGGCAACCCAGAGGAAAGCCAGGGATAGCGGCGTGCGCCAGCTTTTGCCTGCAAGGCAACTCATCAGCCTCTCTTTATTTTCCGAACCCCACTTTGCATGGGTGTGATGTGGGCGCAGTGCTCGTGCAGCCTACATGGATGGCAGCCGGTGGGATTAGGAAACCAGGAGGAAAGAGAGTAGCAGCATGAAGCGTGTTTGCGTTTCCACACGTTACAGTTGCAATGCAGTTGCGTGCCCACCCGAGGGGGGAATCCTGCCGCGGGGGAGGGCGATCGAGGGGCGTCGCCGTCCCGTGCAGAAGCCGCTTCTCTTCCCTCCCACGCAGTCTCTTAGTTCTCCCCCTTTCGACGGCACCTGGGAAGGGTGGGAGGCTGCCGACGCAATGATAAACGCGGCTCCTCCTTTTGGTTGCTGGAGGCGTAAGGAAGAATTTTCCTGCGATTGAGCGTTTGGGCCCCCTAACTAGCCTTTGTTGAACGTCAGGGGCCGTGGCTGAAGAAGTAGTGTTGATCGAGGGTGCCCCTGAGCGCGTGCAGAGGGCCTTCCCCGCACAGCGCAGCCCACGCTTGGGTGCATTATCCCGGGAAGATTCAGATTGAGGAGACGGCGGGACGGAGGCTCCCCAAGCTTCGCTCAGCTGAGCAACCCATTCACCTTTTTGGAATGCAAATAATGACGGGCAGCAAAAGTGTCCGGAACTCAGCCATCATAAAGAGGCGACTTTGTGCATTGGGTATCCTTCTCTCTCCCCTCCCCCCCCTTCCTTTGCAATTAGTTTACCCAGACGGGATTGGAGGAATGAGGTGAGATTTCTGCAACTCCCGCGGTTAGGACGAAGAAGGAGGCGCGGGGGTGGGAGAGAGAAAGAAAAAACAACTTAGTGGTTCCACTGGGGCTCGAACCCAGGACCTTCTGCGTGTAAAGCAGACGTGATAACCACTACACTATGGAACCGCCACGACGGCTCCCTTTTCCGCCAATCTCCTTCTTCGTGGGGTCTGCCGTTTCCTGCTCTGTCATTGGCTTCGCCCAGCGCAAGCGGAGACGCGCCAGGAGGAAGAGGAGGGGCTGCGTTGCCGCGGCAATGCAGAGAAGGGGGAAAAACAGGGTTTGCCTTAAGTTGCTTCCACATATGAAATGTTTTTTTTTTTCCTTACGCCGCTGCCAAAATAAATCAAGGAAAGAATTACGATTGTTGCTCACGGTCCCAGGGATGATTGCTGTGATTATTGGAGATAGATTTTAAAAAAAGCCAGGGACGGGCGTGCAGGTCGACCGGTACTGGTATCCGAATAGTAATGTTATTTAGCAGAGCAAGGCTAACCGGGTCTACTCGGGAGTAAGTCCCCTGGGCGTTAATGGGGCTTACTCCCAGGCAAACGGGATTAGGGCTGCAGCCTTCATCATGTCTTCGGTAGTTCTGGTTTGAGACAAAAACAAAACTAATTGCACTTTCCTTCCTCATTGCAGCACGTTCAACGCAAGTATGGTTTTTGGAGTCATTTAGCAAATTAGCCACTGCTTGCATTTCACAATTTGGAAAAAGAAGAAAAGGGCCAAGGGTGTGTATCAATGAAATGCAATCTATATAATATTCTCTCTTGAACTGCTCTTGGCTTTATTTGCTAGCCAGTATTGTTATTAGGTTGTATTATTTATCTTTTTCTGCACTGTGCTGATTTTGAAACTTGTAGAAAGGAGTGGCATAAACTCATTTGAAAACTGGTGAGAAAAGAGAGTCCTTCGCTTCAGCTTTAGAAAGATACATTCTTCTTCATATTATTATTAAATAAATAAATATACTGCCCTTAATTGAAGATCAGAGGGTGGGTCTCTGCATAAAAATACAAAATGAGAACACAAAATACAATACAAAACCATTAACTGCCCCCATAACACCTTTAAAATAGCATATAATGTTTAATCAGCCAAAGGCTTGGTTGCAAAGGAATGTTTTTCGCCTGGCGCATAAATAAATGTAATGAAGACCCCAGACAAGTGTCCCTGGGGAAAGCGTTCCACAAACGGAGCCACTGCAGAAAAGGCCATTCTTGTGTTGCCACCCTCCATACCTCTTGTGGAATGGGCACATGAAGAAGCCTCAGAAGATGATTGCAGGGTCCAGGTCAATTCATATGAGAAGAGGTTCTTGAGGTATTGGCACCTGTTGAATTCTGCACTAGCTTTCAGCTTTTAAAGGTGCAGGATCTTTTGAGCAAGAAAGGATCCTGAATCTTTTATAAGCTACTAACCCTTAGGAAATGGGACGCGGGTGGCGCTGTGGGTAAAAGCCTCAGCGCCTAGGGCTTGCCGATCGAAAGGTCGGCGGTTCGAATCCCCGCGGCGGGGTGCGCTCCCGTCGTTCGGTCCCAGCGCCTGCCAACCTAGCAGTTCGAAAGCACCCCCGGGTGCAAGTAGATAAATAGGGACCGCTTACAAGCGGGAAGGTAAACGGCGTTTCCGTGTGCGGCTCTGGCTCGCCAGAGCAGCGATGTCACGCTGGCCACGTGACCCGGAAGTGTCTCCGGACAGCGCTGGCCCCCGGCCTCTTAAGTGAGATGTGCGCACAACCCTAGAGTCTGGCAAGACTAGCCCGTACAGGCAGGGGTACCTTTACCTTTTTAACCCTTAGGAAGTGGGGCTGCCCTACTGACTGAAGGAGCTTTGCCAACTAGTGCAGAGCTTTCCAAACTTCTCATGCTGGTGACACACTTTTCAGACATGCATCATTTTGCGACACAGTAATTCAGTTTTACTAGCAAACCGGAAGTTTAACATTTCCCGCCCTGGGAGGGGCGCGGGGAGCGTTCACGCGACACACTAACGTGTCACAACACATAGTTTGGAAAGCTCTGATCTAGTGGAATGGAGAATATCAGCTCAGCTGCTTCACAGAAGGAATAATCTTTCTGTTTGACCCATATAGAAAAACGTGGGATGCAGGTGCAGTTTAGGTTGCCCGCTCCAGAAATACCATATGCTTTTATTCCCAGTTATACATTCATGTAAAGGCCCACTGATATGGACTAAGTGAGGAAGAAGAGAGATGTAGGTGTACGTATATTTATAATACCTCTGCCACATCTGTTTAAAACTACTTGACTAGAATGAAACAAACATAATATGAATTGGGGGTCTGTCACTCTTAACCCCCCTAGAACTTTATAACATTGAACCCAGTGCTACCACATAACTTGCATACAGTATACGTACTAATGTTATAATAAATTTGCAAAAAATAAAATAAAAATATAATTCTGATCTGGAATGAAATATAAAGGAGAGTGGGAAATGTACCCCAACAGACCCTACAGTATTCAGACTAGATTTCTGTCTAATTACTCTTCCTACTGGGCTGATCTTCCCATGGACTGCAAGAAGATCAAACCTATCCATTTTGAAGGAAATCAGCCCTGAGTGCTCACTGGAAGGACAGATCCTGAAGCTGAGGCTCCAGTACTTTGGCCACCTCATGAGAAGAGAAGACTCCCTGGAAAAGACCCTGATGTTGGGAAAGATGGAGGGCACAAGGAGAAGGGGACGACAGAGGACGAGATGGTTGGACAGTGTTCTCAAAGCTACCAGCATGAGTTTGACCAAACTGCGGGAGGCAGTGGAAGACAGGAGTGCCTGGCGTGCTCTGGTCCATGGGGTCACGAAGAGTCGGACACGACTAAACGACTAAGCAACAACTCTTCCTACTGCTAACCAATAACAATAACTTTAGTCAAGCTAAGGAACTGAAATGAGAAGCATTAGTTAAAATGATTTAACAATCATCTCCACGCTATCCACATATGTGAATAAAAGTGCTATAAAATCCTCAGGAGCAATAAATGCTGAATAGCAGATACTGTTGGAATGCAACAACATAAAACGCAATACCCCGAAGGATGAGATCTGTTGAGATACTATTTTGCTCCAGTTTACCTTCGAAGCAGATTATGGTGTTCTGTCAGCAGAGGGCTGTCAATCCTCATTGAGAGTGGAGAGCGTGCTCACCTTTCTCTAAAGAAGGTGGAGATTTTTGAGGTATATAAGACTCTTCCTGCACTGTCCCATGTGTATATATATGACTGCTGTATGTCAACTAGAGCCGGTTATGTTTGTCCATGCATGAAGAATTAAAAACAGAATTTCCAGGGCTCAGAGGCAGCAGGAATAACGGAGGCCTGCCATAATTGCAGCCATATTGGGAGTAATGGCAGCGGCATGTCTCAGTGGTAGAGCATCTGCTTTGCATGCAGAAGATGTAGGTTCAATCCCTGGGATTGGGAAACATACTATACCTGCTTGATATATTGGGAAGCCACTGCCCATCAGCATAGAGAACTCTGATGGACCAGCGGTCTAACTCAGTACAAGGAAGCTGCTTATATTCCTTCAACAGCTTACAAATTGCTTAATTCTAAGCCTTGTCCTTTATGGTTGGTATCTGACAGCTGCTACAGTTTGCCAGTCCCCCTTTTGCCTTTGCCTGGTTCATTTTTCATACTGCCTTGATGACAAGAAGCTTCCAAATTGCTGCCCATCAAAATGATCTTGTTTCTTTCTTTCCTTTATTTTTTCTTGAGGACTGCTGCTGTTCAGTCCTCAGGGAGTGAATTATTTTTTAAAAAAACGAAAACAAAACATTATCATGAATCATGAAATTCTTCAGGAGAGATAAAAAGAATAGCTGTACAAAGATAGTATTACTCTTCTTTTTTTGTGTGTTTACTCTCTCCTATCCTGTCATTGCTTTTAAAAAGCACTTTCTGCACTTACTAAACTGATGACCCTGAAAGAAGAATGCTGCAATGTAGCTTATGAATTTCAGGTTTAGCAAATAGTATAAAAGGTATTTAATTTGTTCAAATGATGTAGAAACCATTTCTACTCAAGGAGAAACATTCCCATGATCTGCAGCAATATTCTGCATCCCAAACAGCACCAATAATCTTTTTAATAAGCAGGGACTCTCTGTTTAACAGCTGCAGGATGAGTAGACACCAGTACTATGCCTTCTTCCATCACTACATCGCCAAGCTGGTGGAAAACCCACCTGTTGACCTCTGTCTGCTATGCAGATGTTAATGGCACAAAGCTTTTGCTAACAGGTGTGTTAAGCCCAATGTAACTTGCTTTATCCGGTTACCATATTGGGTCAACTGACTCTTGGACCACAAGGCAGAACTTTGTATGATGTGCGTGAGTCCATTTAATAAAAGTTACTTAGTTTTAGAATCTGTACTGTGCATTCATTTGACCAATGTGTAGAAAACATATGTCTAAAGCTGAATAAGCACTAGCTTTTTCTTGTTTCAGTGTACATTTTGTTCCCATCTATTACCAGTCTGTATATTTTGCACTCACTGTGTTAAAAGCATATGTACGTTAGGAATATGCATATGATTCTTTGGTGAGGGCTGTCTGCTCCATCTCATAAAGTAGGTATGTTTGATGTCAGCTAAGGCCTGTTGCTGCATCAGACTGGCATGACTACCACTCTGGAAACGGAGAGAGAGGAAACTAAATTCACTGCTGTTTCCTCAGGTTGCATGTTATCATGATCCCCTTTGTAGGCAACCTGAGATGTAGCTCAAGTCTTCACCTTTTTCTTGTTCTCATTATCTACCACAAAGGTAGACTGACATGTATAGATTAGTCCAAACAGTCAAGTAATAGATTTTTGACTCAGGGAAACTTCCTAAGTTGCATTCACTGTTTATTCAAATAGAACTGGCCCTTTAAGCCATATGGATTTTTTAAAATTGTGTTGATGATATATATCATTCTGTTGCTTTTGGAAACTGAGGGCTTTATGATGTGGTATTGTGTTGCAAAGTTCTTTTTGTTCCCTCATTGTATTTTCCCTTCTAATGGTCTTCACAAGCTCATTGAGAGGATGCTGTGGAAATGGCCAGGCTAATCGGGTACTGAGTATTAAATGGTCTCTGAAAATTTTATTAACTTGGAGTATGACCTGCATTGTCTCATTCCCCCCCCTTTTTTTATATAATTCTAGTGCCTCTTCCCATGCTTCACCAAACACTTTATCTTATGCCATAATGCTAGTTTGTGGTTCATTATTACTATAATGGCTGTTGCTGAGAAGCAGTTTCCAATGTGAAGCAGATAACTTTAGCCATCCACTTGTCTGCCTGAGATTCAGAGAGCCTGGTAACAACATAGGTTTCTCCAATACATCATTGTGCCTGCGCTGCTGTTCGTAGCTGCAGAACACAGCTCTTATTTCTGGCTAGAAGGAGAAAGGAGCTGTTCCTTGATAAATCTTCTATCTGCATAAATGTAAGAGGAGCACAAATGTGAACCACCAAGAAGGAAGCTGGAATGTCAATTGATTTTATATCGCATCCTGTACCCTCTGCCCAGGAAGAAAGCTTGTTTACAGCGCCTAGTAAACCTCTTTGCTGATGCAATGGAAGACTTAAGGTAATTTCTTTGTGTACCTTTGTTTTGGTAGATATATTTTAACCATTTGTTTTTATTTTTAAATCAATGTTGGTGGAGAGAAGGAGTGCATGGTGTAACACAGATTGCCATTGCTGACACGCTTCTTTGCAATTGAGCCCATCTAAATAAAATTTATTTACATCTAAATAAAATTTATTTCTAAGTAAATACAATCATTTATGATCCATAGTTTGAGCCTTGATTTTGTTTATTTTCAGCCTTTTCTAAGATCACAGACTCCAGAGTCACATATTGACTGCCTTTAGTTTGTTGGGGTTTTGTAAACTCCATTTTATGTTGGGGTAGAACTAGATTAAATATTTAGCTGCCCACGCATTCTTTCTGCTTGCTCATGTCCAGAGATATTGGGTGGCTACAGTGGCTAAAAACTGTGCAGAAGAAGGAGTTGTGGCAGGTAAAATTTGTCATGACACAACACCTAGGTGCTGAGGGATGCTACACTCCTGAGAATTTCCTCTTCTGCACACCTGTTAAAGATACATGATCCCCCTTATCTGCTGCATCTGATCCCCCTTCTCACAGAGTGTTGGTGTTGCAAAATAAAACTACAATTTCCCTTAAAAATTTGAAATCCCAGCACTCCAGTCTCCAGAATTGTGTTAAATGTCGTCTTGGATTCACATATTTCCTAAACAATGTATAGTTCTTTCATGTAATGCATATTAATTGATTTCCGTCTGCACCATTTATTTATTTTCTAACAACCCTTCAGCAAGCATGGAATTATTTTTCTCCTTCATTTTCTATCAGGGTAGAGTGGGAAAATCATAGCCCCTTAGGAAATTACTTACTTTTTAGTCATCCTCTAAAAACCAGAGGCATCTTTTTAATTGTTCAGTTTCAGCATAAACTTGGTCTTGAGTAAGGATGGGTAAATCTTATTTCAGTTTCTTGTTTTTTAAGTTCAGCTTACCACATTGCTGCATCCATTTGTGATTGATTGATTGATTGATTGATTTTAAAATCCTCGTAGAAATTCATCAGCATTTTATTGTGTACATCTCCCATTATCCACATTTTTCAAGCAAATTTTCCTAATGTAGCACATTCTGTATGCTATTTTCACTAATACACTTTTTGTACACTTCTTCTGGTTTGAAAACTGCAACACAACATTGGGGGAACTGCAAATTTTTAAATATAGCTGTATTTGTTTGCATATTGTTTTGGGAAGTACAAGTTAAGAAAGTTTCCTTTAAATTGTGAACCAAACTGAATCTCTTCCCCATTCCCAGCCTTGAGTATAACTTCCTAAACATGAGTATCATTTGACACTCATGCTACCAGCTTTGTGTTTCATTTGTTTTCCTATTAGACTTCCCTTTGTTACATTACACACACACACACACACACACACACACACACACTACTTTAGCACTGAATATTTTTCATGTCTAAAATGAGTAAAGTTGGGACTCAAACTTGCTTTGAAATCAGACTTCCTTTGCTTTAAAATTTTCTTCTAGCTACCTAGGATAGCTCAGTTGGTAAGGCACGAGACTCTGAATCTCAGAGTCGTGGGTTTGAGCCCCATGTTGGGCCAATTTTCCTGCATTGTAGGGGGTTGGACTACATGACCCTTGTACCTTCCAGCTCTACGATTCTATGTACTGAATCCTGTAGTGACCAGGAGGTGAGAAACTGCACATGCTCTGTTGCTGTCTCTTCAGTAATATTCAAGGAATGAATATAACATTCAAAATAGGTTCAAGACAAGGCAGTTTGTAAGTACAAACGAGGGCTGGGCACAAATGCCTTTCAGATTTCCCCACCCTATTTGTGGAAAGAGAAATGGTGGGAGGGGACTAACTTTTCCCAGGGAAAAGAGAAATTCTCCAATAGTAAGGTTAACTAATTAGCAGTGTTAGTAGGTCAGCGTCTTTCTTTTGCCCTAAAGTTGTTTCCCCCACCACCACTGCAAGTGGCAGCAGTAATACCTGTGTTGGCAACCTGACTACCATTTTGCATCTTCCACAGTGCCAGATGTGTTGTGATCATTCCCTGGATATGTGTGTGTATGTGTGACCAGAAAAAAAAAGACCCTTTTCTAGATGGGGTGAGAAAAAGGAAGTACTCTGAAATCTTGGCCAGAAAAATGTCTTTTGAGAAATATGTTCTAGACCAAGAAGTGGGATTGCCACTGCCCCACCTAGTGAGACAACACCTTAGCTTAGCTCCTACCTCCTGTTTCATCTCAGATTCGCCTATGAAAGCCCTTCTTATCAACCATGACAATTAAATAAGTACCTATATATTTAGAGAGAGAATACATTTGTACACCAATGAGAGACAAATACTGAAGCTAGGAGCCACCATCTTCTGTTTCTTCTTCCCTGCATGCTTTGATTGTCAGCTGATCTCTTCTGCTTCAGATTGCTCCCTGCATTTTCAGGGTTCCCAATTGTGGTAAGGATTCTAAATACCTCCACCTAACACACACTTCAGATCTTTGTGTAGACTTTGAGTACATGCCCCTAATGTCCCCACTTTAAATGCACCCACATTGAATGCCTAAATTGGACTTCTCTCTCCCTCTCTCCCTTCCTTCTCCTTCTTAGTGTTGCAGTGCTGATGGTGGTATTACTTAAAAGCATTAGAATAGACTTGCATAATACATCTAGAAGCTTCTCCCCCCCACTCCGTCTGTTGCCACAGACACCGTCCCTATCTTGAAATCATTTTCATCTTGCTTTTGGCCGTCTGCTTGCCTAGTAATTGTACTGCCTGAGCCAGACTGCAGAAAGGCCTTGTGCATTTTGAAAAAACAAACAAACAAGTAAACAAACAAACAAACAAACGTTTAATTGGCATCCTTTTGCTTCTTTTCATTCCCTTTGTTTAACATCCTTATGTTTCTGGTTACCTGATTTATAGCTGGACATGGCAGTATGAGATGTGTGTTTGTGCTCAACATTTACTTACATGTAAATCAGCAGCACTTTGTCACCCTGTCCCCAAGATCAATGTTCCTGATGTATTATGGTGCTTTAGGTTTTCCCGCAGATGCCTCTCACCCTTCTGCCTATGCTTCAGCAACTCTGGGTCTGGTAGTTCTTGACATGGCATGTGACACATTGGGGAAGCACCAGTCTCTCAGTTTCTACAAGTCCAGGTGTAACTGCACAAGCCCACTCCCTTTGTTCTAGAGAAGCACCCAGGCCAGCAGCTCACTGTTCAGAATGTTGAGTGTTCTTTTCTAACATGGCTTCTGATTGGCTCCATCAAATCTCACAAGATGGGTACATTGATACAATGATAGAGGTTTCCACAAATATCCTCAAGTGTGATTTACAATTGTGCCCAGTGTTTTCCACTATAATGTGGCTGCTTATGCTGGATTAGGCCCCTTTGGATCTCCTTCCTTACTGCCCCACCCCATAATGCAGGATCCCCAGTCAGGATTGCTTGGCCAACAATACCAAAAGCTGGAACGCTGTGCTTAGTGTTTACCGGCAAATCTCTGCACTGCCTTCACCGGTGCATAGATAACCTGGTTAATTATTTCTGCTGCTCAGCACTTTAGTGGCTAGCAATATGGTATCTATTCTTGTCATGCAGTCTTCTCTGTTATTAGGGCCAATGGCAGGCGTTATTTTCTCCGGGAATCATTGTTTACTGTTGCATATTGAGATGAATATAAAGACGGTATGGTTGGCAACGCCGATGGCTTGAAGAAAACCATCGCCCATGAGGAAATATTAAATCAGCACCCCAGTCTCAACTGAAGTCATGGGATGTGGCACTTCTATTACGACGAGGCGGGTGAACAAATCAGAAAGAGGTAAATAACCTGTGTGTGCTCTTTCCATTCTCTGATGTGATACTTAAACAAACTTATTGTGTGCATTAATTTGGAAGATACTGATTGTAGGTTGGACCATCCCAGGTGGTTCTGCTGGACTGGTAAGCAAGAGGACATACTATGAAGAAGACTCAAGAAGGTGTTGAGATAATATAGCCATCAGTTCTCTGTTTAAAGAACCTCTCCCTACCTGATTCCCCTCCATATGGTTTTAACTGCAAATCCTTTCAACCTCTGCCAGCATATATCTACTTGCTGGAACTGATGAGAGTTTAGTCAAAACCATATGGGACCAGGCTGCTTTAAAGCATCGAACCTTGGTGCCTATTTTGAGAGTCTTGGTGCAAAAGGGCACAATGTATATTAACATCTCTTAGTGCTCTCCCAAATGTTTGGCCAGGGTGTTTCTTACTATCTTGACAAGAAAGGTTTGATTAAGAGAAACTTCACAGACATGGTACGTTTCCAGTGTTAAAATGGGCTCTGTTGTGACATGCAGGGGAGGTTTGAGAAGACTTGAAGGTTTAAGAGACCAGCAAGCTGTAGTTTTATATTTTCAATGCTTTTCTTAGTGTATGGAACTCATTCTCCTAGAACTCCTTCTCGACTGCTAGTCCAATGTATATAAAACCTGGAATTCTTGCAATTACTGTAAGGGCATTCAGGAATATCCAGCAAGTTGTTTGGGCATCTGACTACTAGCCAGGATCTAAATGTCTTTGGGGCAATTATCTCCCTCTAAATTAGACTCAACGGGGGTTCACGAAAAGAGGGAAAGAAAAGCAACCACTTACCAATTTCAGGGTGCAAAAATGATAGAGTGCCTTTTAGAAACATCATTTCCAATGAGCCATTGTTGGGGGATGGAACCTAGGAATACTGCCACCACATGCAAGGGCAGCGGAACAAAAGCTCGTGGTTTTGTTTGTTTGTTTGTTTTGAACAGCCACTACCTATAATGTCCCATCATCAATAGTCATTGAGAAAAGGTCAATGTATCTTTCCATTCATCATTTATGTTTGAGAAAGCCTGGATTGAATTTGGGATGAGAAGTAAAAAGGAAAGGAAAATTCTCCACCGTGGAATTGGCCTTGGCTGAGAGCTCCATTCCATCACCCATAGGTTTTATTCTAGTCTGCCATCAGCATCTAATGTTTTGGTTGCCCCCATCAAAACAGATTCCCTCTCTGGATACTGTTGCTTAAAATCCCACCAGGAGACAGATATTTGTACCTTGTGTAGAACACAAAAGCAAGTCTTTGTGGAAGAAAGACAAAGTGATGCATAGAATTGGATTTCAGGGCCTGTCTTAGACTCAGCTAGGCCTGAAGTGACAAACACAAATGTCAATTCTGTTTCCCAGCCATCAGATGGATTGGAATCACACTTGCAACATTTCATGGATTACGTCAGGTCAACATCAGTCATCTACATCAGTCCTGTTTAAGTTCAGCAATGGCATCTCTCTCATACACTTTCCTGTATCTCTTCTGCAACATCTATTTGCTTCTTCTGCCATAGCAAATAGATTCTGGAAATATTGACTGTTCCTTTTGGGAATAGCCTTGACTGATGTCATTGATTCTAAGTCTCTAGAGTTTCAATTAATTGTCTTAATAACAAAGCAACACTTCTACCTGAGTGAGAATTGCAATAATCAAATCAGGAGCTGTGATCAGTGTGATGTTCCTGTGCCAGGACTCGTATCGTAAAGGCAGGCTACTACTTGTTTAATATCATATGATCTATGAATCTCTCAGTACCTTATTTTGGACCATATAGCAACCACTTGCACACAGTTTGCCTGGAGCTGAGTCTAACTAATGTGCAGTTCTTAGGCACTAATATGGTGGTGCTATAAAAATACTATCAATGCATATTTTATAGGTAAACAAATGTTTTAAATTTTGAAAAACCCAAAAATAATTATCTACAACAATTTGTTTTTGACAAATTATACAGTGGTACCTCGGGTTACATACGCTTCAGGTTACATACGCTTCAGGTTACAGACTCCGCTAACCCAGAAATAGTGCTTCAGGTTAAGAACTTTGCTTCAGGATGAGAACAGAAATTGTGCTCTGGCAGCGCGGCAGCAGGAGGAGGCCCCATTAGCTAAAGTGCTGCTTCAGGTTAAGAACAGTTTCAGGTTAAGAACGGACCTCCGGAACAAATTAAGTACTTAACCCGAGGTACCACTGTACTCAGAAGCTTCTGCATAAAATAGTATTTTACAACTGTGTGCCTACTGTATAAAAAAATTCATTTTTTTATTGTAAAAAACTTGCATTAGTAAATCATAATGCAAGCCCTATTTGTTTTATGACCTCATAATGCCCTTCCCTTTGTTTCATGCAAGTTGCTATGACCCAAATACTTGGGATTTAGCAAAACTGGTACTCCAGGGCACACACTGAAACAAATTTTGAGCTGCTGTGCATCACCTGAGACTGTAACCTACATTTGTTTATAACGAATGATATTTTGTATGTGCGAACTTGAAAAATCTGTTTAGGATATTGACCCATGTGTCTTTCATAGGCTTCTTGGCCTCAGAAGCTTTGGAATTTATTGTACAGCTGGCAATGTTTTTGAGCTGTACAGCAATGCTTCCAAAGACAATCCTAGCTTTGTATCCCCTCCTAAATCTTCCCAGTATTGCCCCATCTCAGGTGTATTAAGGGAGGAGGAGCATGCGTTAATTTAGACATCTGGATACAAATTTAGAAATAATTACTTCAATTGAAATGGAAACACACAGTGAGGAAAAAAAACTTCCCAGGTGGCCCTGTGTGCCTGACCATCTGTTCTCCAGGTGCTAACAGCTGATGAACAACTGCAGCTCTCCCTTCTTTTGCCTTAAATTGGACCAGACAGCCCTTCAGAGAAGAGGGCTCCCAGGAAAGTAAGAAGAAACCTGCCTAAACCAAGAGTGATATGGTCCATCATGCTGTTCCCATGGTGGCCAACCGGGTGACTGTGGGAAGCTTGTAAGCAGAGCATGGGCACACCAGCACTCTCCTGACCTGGCTGGGACATGTGAAGAGCACCAGGATGCGGAAGGTGTCTCTGCCTTGAGATTATCTCAAACTTTAAATGCAGGAGTGCTTGTAGGGTTAAAAGGGGAGCCATGATTAGCCTTCTGCGTTTTAGAGCAGGATTCACACATAGCATTTTAGAACCAAAGATCTGCATAACTAGTTGTGGACAGTTAATCTTCTCTTTCTGGCCCCTTCATGTCTTGGCAGCCATTAAAGCAGCTGTCCTCATTCAAAGGTGGTATCGCTCTTACATGGCCCGGCTGGAGATGAGGCGGAGATATGCCCTGAGTATCTTTCAGTCAATTGAATATGCAGAAGAACAAGCACAGCTACAGGTTTGTACTCTGTGGATTTTTCTTTGACGCAAACTGTTAGTGAGGTAGAACATGCCTGGCTTTTCAGATTATATTCATCACGGATAATGTAGCTTGTAAATTTTTATTCCCTCTCATGGTTGATGCTTAAGTTTTAAGAAGATAATATATAATTAGTACCATGCCATTCATTTTTTGAAGCTGGTTAGTATCAGGCACATCTGTAAAGTGGGAAACATGATTTTCATTTATATCAGGCCTTTTTTAATTAAAAAAAATAATGCTAATTTTGAATTGTGACACAAGCAACGTAATGCACGTAATCATCTAAAGACACTCCCCCTCCCCCACACCCCTGGTAAGACCCTTAAATTTAGAGCCGGCTTTGCTCAACTGTGTCACTGTCCCTATCAATGGAGATATAAGGGGCTTGAGATTTTGCCGGGGTTGTTATTGTGTAGATGGAGCCAACGTGCTTATTTCCAATAAGGGGAAGACAAGGTAATATAATAATTTCTGCTTGTAAACTAACAGATGTCTTTTCTTACTCAGCTATCCAAGTTTTTCACATTCATGCTGGACCATTTTACTAAGGCCAATGAAACTGATCCAGGTAAGGATTGACTGAATAAGTTTTCAGAGCAGTTACATGTGTGTATCTTGAAAAAAAAAAAGGTGTGTGTGTGTGTGTGTGTGTGTGTGTGTGTCAGTGCAGCCAAGAGCATATATGTGTGGAACTACTTATCTTTGCACATGTACCTGTAGCTAGTTGAGGAACTGTATGTTTCTCAAATCAGAAAAACCTGCATCTGTGCAGCAAATGCAATAGCAGTCAAATGGTCAATCTGACTGCGCAGGTGCAGCAGGCTTGGCGTGGACAATGCCAGGATACAATGTAGAAGAAAAGAAAAGCATTTCGAACTAGTTATGGATAAGCAGAAAGACTAGGAAAACAGTTTAGGGAGGTGTGTCCTGTGTAATTAATGTATGCCCAGGAATCCGGGATCAATATAAACCAGGGGTAGTCCACCTGGTCCCTTACTGTCCACTAGTGGGCGTTTCAGGATTCCAGGTGGGTGGTAGGGGGTTCTACGACACATGTTACTGCAGCACTGGTGGGCGGTAAGGAAATTTCAAGAAAAATGCATTAGTGGGTGGTAGGTATAAAAAGGTTGACTACCCCTGATATAAACAATTATTTCTCTCCATCTAAAACTTTTCCATTGGCATCTCTAGTGGAAGATTCATGGTTTAGTCTGAAGGGGCAATTAGGATTTTTTTTTTTTAATGGAAAGAAAACAGACTAGAGACATACCAGGACTGGAAAAATATACAGACTGTTGAACAAGCAAAGGCTAAAGTGAAGATGGCTCCACCTAGATATCAGTATCCGCACATCGGGACTTTTTGAAATGGACTGATCAGAAGCCAGGAGATTTAGAGAGATAAGACTTAGGTGGAATCTACACACATGTTAAAAACATTGTGAAAATGCTTTTTAAAAAATCGCTTTGAAAAATGCATTGGATTTTCTATAGCTCAGTTACCATCTAGTGTCACAATTGTATATTGCACTTTACAACACTTTCAAAACGTTTTATTTGCAGCTGTATAGCTGAGTCCTGAATTTGAAACAGTTTATATTTTAAAATGTAAGAAAATCGTCCATAACTATATGCTGAGATGGAATAAACATATGAATAGAGAAATCCCAAGAGAGGCATGGTTTGAAAAGGGTTCGAGTTTCTCGACAGCTATGATCCATAAATAAATTTGCTTTAAGATGGTGTTGAACTTCATTGAAAAGTAAAATGATCAGTAAGCCAGAAGAAAGAAAGTCATGGATTTATCCATAAGTAAAAGGTGATTTTTACCATATGTCATGGTTTTGTAAAAAAAAGAAAGTAGTCGTATTGGCAAATGGTGGTGAGAATTATGAAGGAAACATTTCGGAGAGAAAGAATTAACTGATGATGCATCGCTATAAAATTACAGTGGTACCTCGGGTTAAGTACTTAATTTGTTCTGGAGGTCCATACTTAACCTGAAACTGTTCTTAACCTGAAGCACCACTTTAGCTAATGGGGCCTCCTGCTGCTGCTGCGCCACCGGAGCACGATTTCTGTTCTCATCCTGAAGCAAAGTTCTTAACCTGAGGCACTATTTCTGGGTTAGCGGAGTGTGTAACCTGAAGCATATGTAACCTGAAGTGTATGTAACCCGAGGTACCACTGTATTAGAGAAGAAATGGCCAAACTGGTCCCAGTAGAAACATATATTGGGGGAAAAACTGGGCATAACAGAAAAAGAACTAAATTATATGCTGCCATTAAGAGTTTAAATTACATGGTATTCATATATGAAATTGGCTTTTAGAATGCCTCTTATATATTGGTATATGTAAATGTTATGTATATATTATGTATATGTTTGTATGTGTGAAGGTATGTGGGAAAGTTTTGCTTTCATATTCTGCAATGCCAATTTTTCAAAGTAAATAATATATATTTTTAAAAGATCCCATTTTTCACATAGCAGGGAGTGCAGATTTCCTATGACTGATGCTGAGAAACCAGGGACTGTGGCTCTTGTTTGGGGTTGTTAGCAAGGAAGCCAATAAATAACTCGAAATAATGTTTACTTTTAAGAAGCACTCCAAATTCTTATCACACTTAGCACATTTCAATTACAGCGTGCTCTTACGCAGAAAATGCCTCTTGGGGCAATATTTGTTCCTGACAATATTTTATAATTGTGATTTTAATGTAGGCTGCTGTGACTCAGTCTGTTTGCCATAGTCCTTGTTCCTTTATAAGTAATTAGTGGTTTTCCCTGCACAAGCTGGCATGTCCTCCAGTAAATGCCAAGGTTGGTTGATAGTTTTCTTTTAAGCCATCCTTGCAGAAGCTTTTCCCCTGTGGGAATTGCACATATCATACACAAAGCATACGTGAAACATTATTTTTCAGTCCTGTGGATGACAAAAGACCCCTGAGTAGGAAATATTAGCATGAGTAGGAGGCATGGAGTCAAGCACACTGGCTCCAGCCAAGTGTCTCCCACTTCCTCAGTTATGAGCCTTCCCTTCTTGAGCAGAGAAGGTCTGAAGAGGCTGATCAACTTGTGTTTTCTTGAACCCGAATTGGACCCCATCACAATCAGAAGCCCTGTGGTTGTGGGTGGGAGGTTTATAGCTGAAACATCTGTACAGCAAAACAATAAGATTTCAGCAGCAATTTAAAATTCTCCTGTCAAGAGAGTTTAACATAGACATAGATGGAAGAATTGACGCTCAGTAGGGAGAATTGGCAATTAATGGAGGTAAAGTTAATATTAAAGGGGGGAAAAACATGGCAGACATTTACCAATAATAATAGCTTGGGAACCCCTCTTGGACTTTTTGTGGGGAAAAGAAATGAATGACTCTGAGACACTTTGACTTAAAATAAATATTGTTTAACAGAAAGTGGAGAAGATCGTGGACTGAATGTCTTAAATAATCTTTCTTTTTAAAAATGTAACTGGCAGATGGAACATCAAAAGTCCTTTTATTTTTCTCTAAAGTTTCTTCCCCCTTTGTCTTTTTACTTTTCACTCTTTCTCTTCTCTCTCCTTTCTTGTTCCTCTCTCTCTCTCTCTCTCTCCTCTTCTTGGGAGTCATATGTTTGGGATTGTGTACTCATGTGGGTGGTAGATGTATGATGGAGAGCCCTGGGTGGGAGACAGGGAAATGTTGTTCTCCAAAGGCAAGAGGCTGGAAGGAGACAGGAAGGTGAGAGCTGGAAGGGCTGCTACCTTCTGTGGGTGGTGGCGACTGACAATTGCCTTTAGGAGAAGACTCCATATTTTACAGGATCTGTTTGTATTTTTTTGTAGCTTTTATCGTACTGTATTGTGAAAAACTTTAATAAAAATCTTATTTTTTAAAAAAACATCTGTCCTGTCACTTTTCTGATAAAGGAAAGTGCAACCAAGGAGGTTTCAATGCCAAAACTGGGCCCAAAGTCAGAACAACACTGAGCTTGACAAAGCTCTTCCTTGTTCTTACAAATGCCCAAAAGGTTCTTTGGATTTTAGTGTCTGTTATATTTGTTGGCGTTACGCTGAATATATCATCAGTTTAAACAAATGTTCATGAACTCGTTATCCAAAGGCACATTTGTTGTCAATAACTAAAATTTTGTAAGTTGCTTTTCTGCTTCCTTTATAGACGTCAGCTCTAACTTTTTCTCCACCACCAGTGATTATACCATGAGAGAATATGAACAGACCATTGAGGTCCCTGCCTCCTACTACGGGCCCCACCTTTCTTTCCCCCTCACTGTTGCTGACACTGATGTTCTTCTTCAGGCTTTCAAGCACCGACAGGCAAGCTCAGACCAATGGTTAAATGGATTTCTGTTTTATTTTTATGGTCTCTCTAAAAGTGTCAGCTGACAATCGTAAGGGCATCTTAGACACCATTAAGACAGCAGGGCCTGGAAGGCTAATGTGCATCATGGTGGGGGGAAAGGAATTTGTAAGCACTTGATATGCGCATATTGAAAGCGATGAACAATGGTGCATTTAGTTATTTACCAAAATAATGGTATGCCAGTTTTCCAAATGTTCAAAGGAGCTTACAGTACATTGAAAACAATTACAAGAAAGCACATGTAATAGCAGAAGCACTACTGAGGAGTAGGGTTGGGGTATTACTGAGGGGTCTTTTGTTAGGGGGTTGTTGCTATTCTAGATACGGTACTAATTTTTTGTATATTTCTTTTAGTTCTTATTATGATTTATGTGGGCATTATTTAATTTGATTGTGCACTTTTTGATGTTTTACTTATTATTTATTACTACTTTTGCTAGGTTTGTAATTATGTATTTTTTTCATGTAGCTGCCTTGAGCATGGTTTTAATCAGGCATCCCCAAACTCAGCCGTCCAGATGTTTTGGGACTACAACTCCCATCATCCCTAGCCAACAAGACCAGTGGTCAGGGATGATGGGAACTGTAGTCCCAAAACAGCTGGAGGGCTGAGTTTGGGGATGCCTGGTTTTAATCATGGAAAGGTGGCATACACATAAAATTATGTATGTATGTATTCTGCCTGGATAGCTCAGTGAGTTAGAGTATGGTGCTGATAACGCCAAGGTTGCAGGTTCGAACATCATATGGAACACTTGCATATTCCTGCATTTCAAGGGGTTGGCCTAGAATGATCCTCAGGGCCGCTTCCAACTCTACAATTCTGTGATCCTATTAAACACAACAGGCCTCAACTGACAGCTTTACGAAAAAGGTTGCTCTGCCAGCCCTGTTCCTGTTGAAAGGCTGTTTATTCACCCCAATACATTCATCAGAGAAGAAAACATAATTCTTTCCACTGCCACGCTTTTTTAGCAATTGCTTAGTCATTGTTGGCACTTGCTGCTGCTCTTGAGAGCATTTGGCGCAGGAGACTCACACAGCCCTATGCTACCCATTTCTTTAGCTGTAATGGGATATGGTTTAATTTGAAAGATGGGCATTGCAAAGCTGGATATCCCATCCCATGGCATTTCTGCTTCCTTTGATCTGTTGGCGGCTAAAACTGAACTCCGCAGTCTCTGGGTATACCTGCAGCTGTTCTGGCAGTGTCAAGAAGCGCACTAAAACAATAGGGGCAGCGGGATACATTACTTGAACATAGGAAGTTGGCTTATGTTGAGCCAGACCACTGGTCCATCTAGCTCAGTGTACACACTGACTGGCAGCAGCTCTCTAGGGTTTCAAACTGGGGATATTCCCAGCTCTACTTGGGGATGCTGGGAGTTGAACCTGGGATCTTTTGCAAGCAAAGTGAATGCTGTACCACAGAGCTACATCCCTTACACACACTTACAACCCAATATTGATACTATGATCCCTGCCTTGCTTGCCTTTTTCCACCTGACTTGGGAGGGTGGGGCCTGGACTGACTCCAGCTACAAAAGCTGAGGCTGCTGTAGAGGCCAGGCTGCTGTGTGAGTCCTGGAAGGCCTGCTCCTTGCCTTGCTGGCTCCCTGCCCCCTTGCCTGGCTGAGGAAGGCAGTGGCCTGACTGACTCCAGCTATGAAAGCTGAGGCTGAGTTTTGCTTAGGGGTTTCTGTTTCTGTTATTGATATCAATTTTTTGTATCTTTGTTTTAGATATTATGGTTTATGTGGCATTTGTTCAATTTGGTTGTGTGCTTTTTGATGTGTTTTATTACATATTTAAGACTTTTGTTATGTGTGCAGTCATGTAAGTCTTTTCATGTTGTAAGCCACCTTAACCATGGTTTTACCTAGGGAAAGGTGGCATACAATAAAATGATGATGATTCTTATTACAGTATCGGCACCGAAGCTGCTACTGCATTGGAGATGTCCCCCATCTCCATGCTCACCTGTGCAGTGACGATCCCCCAAGTCTGCAGTCATGACTGCAAAATGTTTGTCATGCTGACAAGAACTCTGTGCAAGCACAAAGCTTGCTGGGTTTTGGGGATGGAGTTCTTCCAATGACTCTTTGTAACATAAAATAAAAAAATTCCTTCCAGTAGCACCTTAGAGACCAACTAAGTTTGTTATTGGTATGCGCTTTCGTGTGCATGCACACTTCTTCAGATACACATATATCTCTGTAATATATCATTTCTGTCTTCTTGCACGACTCTGTATAGCACCTTCATGCCCGATACGTTCTTCAGCTGCTACATGAGACCAGGAAGGTCCTTCAGCAGATGCCAAACATCACATACCTGTCCACCTCTTATACCAAGGAAATAACCATCTGTGGTAAGTTCTCCTTAAGAGAAATGTGGCACCGGGTTGATATCTAAAGTATATTGTGAATTTGTACGACTGTCTAGCATTTGTGGTTGCAGGTCCAGGCGCTGTAGGGCCAAGGCAATATGTAGGTGCAATAAACACAGGAAAACCAAAAGGAGATTTAAGCAGGCCACAGCTTTATTGATTACAGGTGTCAGCAGGTTTGGGCGTAGGCATTGGATGTGTATCCTGACTCAACCAGCCTGCCTACTGGTTGATTTTTGGCAGGGATAACCAAGGTTAAGGGTCACCCTATGGCATACATCAAATTGGGGTGACCCCCCTTCCCCAATCACCATTTTGAGGGTCCTATGGCCCATCAGCCCCTGTCTGTGCATCCGGACAGAAATGAACCCCTCCCCCAGCTATGCCCAAAGTCAGCCTTAACCCACCTTGGCCAGGCCAGACCACAACCCCCACTCCCCACCAGCCAGTGGTAAGTGGTCTTTATAGCTGCCATTGGAATGTTACACTTCCCCAACCCCCTCGCAGTACAAATCCTTCCTGTCTTCCCTTTATTATTGGGGGGTGGGGGGGGGTGGAAGGCTGATGACTCATCGCCCGGCATTTTTAAAGTAAGCCAAACACTTCCTCCCACTTTTCCCCCCTGTCAGATGTTGCTGGGTGAGTCAGTGACTAAATCTGGCAAACTTTTAAGAAAAGAGCTGCTTTTCCATCTGTAAAATGCTACTTTGTGTGGTAAATAATTTCTTTCACCTCTTGCCTTCCCGCAAGTGCTTCAACAAACGGTTCGTGAACATGATCATGATAGAAGAAAATCCCAGTTCATTGATACTTCTTCTGGGGACACACACACACACACACACAGAAAAACAAACACATATCCACACTGTGATGAAAATGAGCAAAGCAATGATGCATTCTCTCTCTCTCTCTCTCTCTCCCCCCCCCCCCCAATATATGGATGTCTCAGTGGGGAAATGTTATGCAGTCTTTGTTCTGAGGGGGTGTATATTTAGAGAGAGAGAAAGAGAGGCCGAACATTAAAGTGCATATTCTTTCTCTCATGCAGAAATTCAGAAAGCAATCTTCTCTTTTATTTTAGTTTTTGATTGAAAGTATTTCAGTTGAGAAGAAGAAAAGGTGCATAAAAAGAGAAAGTAAAGTATGTATCACTAATATATGCAAACAACTACAAATTCATATGTGGTTGTCTAGTATTTGGGTATATAAGCATAATAAGCAATCTTCCTTTTCTTAAGAAGAAAAACCACATAGTGAAACTGGAGACAAAATGTTTTGTCCTGAGCTTTGGGGATCCATTTGGAGCCCAAATAAAATTGCTTTGTGGCCATGGATCACCAGCTGGCCACCTGCATGAAGAATCAGCTAAAGATGGCAACATCTAAGTGCCTCTCAGTCATCTGGCCTTGATTACACTGCCATAGATGGGTGAATGGATGGGATTGGACTTCCTGGATTTGCTTGAGGAGACCCACTTGCAAGACAGCACTAAATGGTTACTAGTAATAATTAGTCTCTCTCTTCAAATCAAGAGAAGACACGCACACAAAATAAATTAATTGTACTGCTGCAGGTGCAGAGAGAAACCAAATTTTAATAAAAGATGCTCCAAGCATTCAGTGCAGTAATAGATAAGATGGCTTTTATTTACAGGTTTATACCATTGAATGAGCTTTAGTAAGCTTGAACAAAATATCCTTAGACTTCTACACACACACGTGTGTGTGTGGCCTTGATAATCAATGTACATACATCCTCCAATGGGTGTCCTCATTTGCACAATTGAAAAAGCATCTGAGAGATTTTTTGATGTGTCCTTCAAGCAAATAATAGTCTTCATACTCAAAACATCCTTAATGACAGATGAAAGTGTATTTTTTTACTGAAGTTTGAGCCAAAATGTTGATGGCCACAAAATGAGATCTATGTCACTTCCGTCAAATCCTTTTTAACTTTCTACATTGAAACAGGCATTAAATATTCATCTGGTTCATGTGTTGCATATGTGAGAGTTCCTCTAATGAGCATCATTTAAACCCCACTAAATCCAATCAAAATACTTAATTTATTATTTCATACTAATATTTGTTGGGTTTGGTCTTAAAGCGCTTAATATGTTCCATATTACGAAGCTAATGTCCCCCCCCTTTTCTATTTTAAAGTCCTAAAATAGCTTATTCCCATTTTAAATTCCTTTAAGACTCCTTTCCATTTTCAATATGACCCCCCTCCCTCTTGAGAGCTTTCTCACCCTGGTCATATTTGCCTAGAAAAGAGCAGTGTAGTGTTTAGGATTCACTTGCATCGTCACCAACAACTCAAGTGTGGGTGTTAACGAGTATACTATAGAAATTTTTAAAAAATTACATTTGTTGTTCTCCTCATTTTTGCCTCTGACCCTGAGCACCAGTGCCATGTGGCACTCGAAAGGTCGCCCACCAAGGAATGTAGCCCTCAGAGTGAAAAGGATTTTATAATCTTGTTCTTCGAATAGCAGTTTGAGAGGGACCATTAAGCCTCGGCTGCTTCCTCCTACCTTATCTGTTGCTTCCAACACAGCTTCCCAATGCTTTTGGGCAGTGGGTGGGCAGTTAACCAGTTGCACCTGCTGTCTTTCATATTATGGTTTCATACATATGTGTGCATATTTTCACAAAATGTCTACTGTAAGCAGCTGGTCCACAGGGAATGCAAAGTGCTCCCCTGGGGAATCGGATTCAGGAGTTGACCGCCATGCAGTTAGTGCTTCATACCATTGCTTTACAACATTCACAAACATGCATCAGCTCTAGAACCCTGCCTGGGGGACGAGGAAACAATAATCACTGTTTGCTACCAGTCTTGCGTATTCTACCTGCCTGACTGGTGGTCCTGTGGCCCGACTGTGAACATTTGTGTTCTTTCTAGGCGATCTTCATGGAAAGCTGGATGACCTTTTGCTGATTTTCTACAAAGTAAGTAAATTTGGCATTGCTGTTTCCTAACGGTGCCTCAATTCCGTTAGCAACTGTGTGTGTAAATATAGAGAGAGATCACCAGCACTTTGTGGTATCAATTTTTGGCCTATGGCCATCTTTCCGTTCTCCAGACTCAGTTAATCAGGACTGAATGTTGATTGAAGGGCACAATCTGCAGGAGACTGGAGAGTATCAAACCTCAATGACGATACTCCTTGCGATTTTTGTGAAGTGTAAACAAAGCAGGGGTGGGAATCGCCCCAAGCCTCGAGTGATCTGTTGTTCAAACTGTTTATGAGGGACAGAAGCTTAACCTTATCCATGCTGTGTAGCATGATCTCCATTGGGAGCTTTCAGGGAAGACAACTTCCCCTAACTCTCTGATAATAACATATGTATCATATTGCTACTGCCCTCTAAGCATGGTGTATTGATGGACTGCCCACTAGAGTTTATAGTCCCAGATTCAGATTACAGTGTGGCTTGTATTTCTTTCATTTTGCTTCCTCAAATTGCACCATGTACAAGTCGGCGCTGCCTTTGGAGGGGATGGGGAAGGGTGGGTGGGAAACAGCTAAAGGCCATAAGTGATGACCTTAACATTGTCTGAAGCCAGTTAAACTAGATAACATGCCTTTAATGCTTTTTAATGGCTTCTCTTAAGAATAACACCTTGGCTTAATTAAAGTAGGCAGTTTGGAGACACTTCCATTCACTGCACTAATCATTGTTAAATGATGCCGTTTCCCATCATGTTCCTCAAAAAAGAACCCCAAACCCGTAATATTTTAAATTGCCAGTTGCTAAATTAGCCTGTGTTAAATTGATTCTATGCATATAGACATCCTGGAGCGGAATTAAAAGGCAGATTGACAAAGGGAGCTAATTAAGCGCAAACCCAGAAGGCACTCTAATGAGGCAGTGGCAGCAGCAACCACCTATTCCACTCACCATTGGAAAGCTGTCTTCACTCTCGTTGCCTGCTGCTATGGATTTTCATTTCATCCCCAGCCTCGAAAAGGGCATTAGCAAAAGCCAGGGAAATGTTCGAGGAAAGCAAGGGGAAGCAAGCATGCTGTATAATATATTGTATTTTGAAGTAAATTGGATTTTCACATTTGAAATGTAAATGCAATGTCAAATGTAAAGGTGTATTAAGAGCTGGCACTGCAAAAAAAGAGAAGCTTTCCAGGCTACATAAACGTTGATTGCAGGCATTTTGAGAACCTGCTAAAATTCATTCGACAAAATTTCATTCTACTGCTCTTCCTTGGACTTCTGGGCGGCTTATGATATATATGACGTCTAGGCAGGGGGCAGAGCAATTGGAACAGAGTTAGATACATTGCATGAATAGGGCTCAGCTTCATCAACATTCCCTTCCTTTCAGCCTCAGATTTGTCTATGATGATTATGGGAGATTGGAAGAGGAGCCCAAAGAACCACGGCAGGGTAGTGGTTTGAGCAGTGTGGCTACGTCCAAGCCCATGGGCCTGAGATGTACACACACACACACACACACACACACACACACACAGAGAGAGAGCAAATGTTTCCAGCTTCTCCTACTAATTTTGGCAGCAGCAGAACATCCTCCCTCCCACCAAAAATGTGGACACAAAATCCTTCCCTCCCCAGATATCAGATTGATCACTTTATGAGTGGGGGAGAAAAATCAGATCAGCTGAGGAAGGGAGGCTCCCCTCTATGTGTGTTGATGACTGTGTGTGTGTTGATGTGTGTGTGTGTGCAGGAGTGTGTGGGGTGGCCACACTTTTTGTCAGACCACCCATGGGCCCACAGGCCCTGGAGGTATAACCCAAAAAGGTTCATCACTGCTTGGTTAGAGTATTGGACCAGGGTTTAAATGCCCACACAGCTGCACAGCTCACTGGGTGGACGACCATGTACCAGCCATTCGCCCTCTTAGCTTAACCTACCTCCTACGGATCTTGTGATGATAAAATTGGGGGACATGGGGAGGAAGACCGTATGCTGACTTGAACTCCTTGGTCATAGGGTAGATGCACATCTAACCATTGTTTTCCACAATTGGTTAGGACAAGCATAATAAGGAATTCTTAAATGGTTCCTATAAAAGTAATATCAAATGAATAGTTTTATGAACTGTGCAGACATGGCAGCTCAAGGTGAACATAAGTAAAACTATCCCTGGTGTCCTCCGTCTGTCACCAAGGACCTGATGCTCACCTGGGAAGAGGTACAGCTAGTAATGTGGTATGGCAGTGCTACAAAAGAGATGTTGGCATCAGTGAGAAAGTGAGGCCACCTACAGCTCTGCAGTGCCCTGTTGACCGGCCGACTTTTGTTTTGTGATAATTAATACCTGTTGTACTTGCAGATGATGTCATTTTTCTTCTTCTACAGAATGGACTTCCTTCAGAGGAAAACCCCTACATTTTTAATGGGGATTTTGTGGACAGAGGGAAAAATTCCATAGAAATACTCATAATCCTGTTTGCCTTTCTACTCGTCTACCCTAACCACTTGCACTTGAACCGAGGGAACCATGAGGACCATATCATGAATCTTAGGTATTGCCATTGTTCAGCCAGCTAGCCAGCTAGCTAGATATATTATCTTTCATTCGCCTAATCTACATGTGTTGTCTTCCCAGAGCCTCCAATTGAAACACTTGATCTGATAACTGAGAGATGCACTTGTAATTTTTGCTCAGATCAGTAGATACTGTCTATGAGCTCCCTCTACACATGTTACTGTAGCTTAGTATAATGGAAAGTAAGAATCAAATTATTGTGCATTTCCGTTAGAATTTGGACTCCGTTTACTCTTTAGAAATGGTCTTGGCATCTGAAGGTTGTGGCAGCATTATCTTTAAGTTAAGGCAGAAGCATTGTGTTATTTTATGGTTCAGCATTTCAATATACAGAAATACTGGAAAAGAAAACCTTATTTTTTATTTCTTTTGCTTTATATAAGAGGTGGGAAGGAAGGAGTTTGGAACATAATGGTATATCTCTGTAGCATTTCAGCAAGGACTCTAAGTTAATTTACTATGGCAACAACAAAATTAATCCGCCCACCACATCCCTGGCTCTATCTTATACTGCTGAAAGTAGATCCCACAAGCCTGAAATCTGCTCACCCCTGTTTCAGACCATGCACTGGACAAAAACTGTACCAGAGTATGGAAAAGTTCCTTGATGCATACTGATAAAATAAGTGGGAAATCTGTATCTGGGGTGCAGATACAGAAATATGCAACAGAAATATCCTACAATTCAAATCTCTGATTTCTGTTGTCTTGCTATACTCTGGTATCCATTATCTGGTAATGATAATGGATCTCCCCTATTATAGGTTATAAACCTATAATATGGAATAAAGAATTATCTCTTACAGATAGGTACATAGAGAGTGTGATCCACTATTGAAATAACCTCTAACTTGTTTCAGATATGGTTTCACAAAAGAAGTTATGAAGAAGTACCAGGTAAATATTTGGCTGTTTTTTGGTAGTGGCATCAGGTTAGCAACCTCACCTTTTAGCTAAGTGATACAGACTGCATTCCTTGCATTTCAAAGCCCTAAGTTAATTTTATGGACCTTAGTTCTGTAAAGAACTCCATCTCTTTTAAGCATTACCCATAAGTAAGTATGGGTAGTAAATTGAATTCAGTTTGCATTTAATGGTGAACTTACCCAATTTACATTTTCTGAAATGATATGTGAACTGAAACTCAGTGATCCTTCAAAATTCACACGTTCTTGACTTTTGCTATGCAATTGTCCAGCCAAGTAATGTGTACAAAAATGCATATACTAGTGTAAAGTGTGTGTGTGTGTGTGTGTGTGTGTGTGTGTACATGCATATATTAGTGAATATAACATGCAAAAGTGCATTAAAACAGGAAAATTTGTATATCAAGTAAAATATACAAAAAGCAAAATTGCATTCAAATGCGTATTAGGAAAAAAATTTGCACTAAAATGATGAATTTTCATAAGGACTTAAAAAAATGAATGTGGAAATGTGGAGTATTGAACTTAAGAATGGAAAAGTCAGAAATAGAGAGAAACCAAAAGTGGTAGATTCATTCATCCCTACTCACAAGAACCCCTTTATTTCCCCCCATGTGCTCAGTGGTGTAGCTAGCCGCTTGGGTACCTGGGGGGCAGGCCGAGGCGACTCAGAGATGGGGCAAGCATAGATTTACAAATAGTTTTCACTTCATTATTTTATGGCTTTGAGAAACCACCCATGAAGCACATCAATTTGCTATTATTTCAGGGACCTTCTGACTGTTACCTAATCACCTTTATTTTCACTTCATAGTGCTATGGAACAGCAATTTTACATCTTCTGGAAGATGTCTATAGCTGGCTTCCTCTTGCAACTATAATTGACAGCAAGGTTCTTATTTTACATGGAGGGATATCGGACACTACTGATTTGAATTTCCTTAATTTATTTCAGAGAAACAAGGTAAGGTGTTAAACTCGCAAGACACTCGTTTTCTTTAGTTCTGCTCTTTTGGGCTCCAATCCATCTCACCAACACACAAATGCTATTGAAATCAATGAGAATTAACCTTGTGTATCTTAACTCTTTTACGTAAACATGCCATTAGCATTTTGAAAATTTAAAGGAGTAAACTAGCAAAACACAATGGATTAAAAAATGCCTTAGTTTGTTGCATTATGTGGCTCTAGTACATACTTTCTCTAGACCATAAGGTAAAGGTAAAGGAACCCCTGACCATTAGGTCCAGTCGTGACCAACTCTGGGGTTGCAGCACTCATCTCGCTTTATTGGCTGAGGGAGCCAGCGTACAGCTTCCGGATCATGTGGCCAGCATGATTAAGCTGCTTCTGGCGAACCAGAGCAGTGCACGGAAACGCCGTTTACCTTCCCGCCGGAGCGGTACCTATTTATCTACTTGCACTTTGATGTGCTTTCGAACTGCTAGGTTGGCAGAAGCAGGGACCGAGCAACGGGAGCTCACCCCGTCGCGGGGATTCGAACCGCCAACCTTCTGATCAGCAAGCCCTAGGCTCTGTGGTTTAGACCACAGCGCCACCCGCGTCCCTTCTCTAGACCTTAAGGCTAATAGTCACCTTAACAATGCTTTAAGGGGTTAAACATGATTTTTAGTCCAGGCGCATAATGGCAAGAGCTGTGGGTTGGCTCCATCATGCTGCACTGCACAGTGCCAAGTTCTCCATGCCTTACCCCTCTCCCTCCAGTACACACCAGCAACATACTTTATTTGGAAGCTGGGAGGGCAGTGGTCCTTCACCTCTGAAGCCCCAAGGACTGGCACTGCCTGGGGGGGGGAGCAGGGCTGCAGCAATAGCCTCCCAGCAATGAGATTGCTTTCACTTACTGGGGAGCTGTGGAAAAGGGGCAAGGTGACAAGAAGGTCTGGGCTGCATCAGCAGAGAAAATCCAGTGCTCATATCAGTGTCCCTCTGCAACCCTGGTCTCACTGCTGCTTCCCTCCTTCCAGTAACTGGGAGTGGCGCCAGGAGACTATTGCTGCCTCACCGGGTGAGCTGCTCCACTCCTAATGTTGGCCAAAGTTCATTAAAGATAACACACTTTCAGGGCTAAGGTAATTTACTTTTGTGCAGATCTCAATTGTGATCAACACTTGTTTATGAATTGCTTCTCACCTATACCTGATAGATCAGCTACTATATTTTCACTTTCATGGTCAGAATTCAGCAATATGCCTGTGCTGATCTAGACCAATAAATGGCGATCATTCATTTTGTCTTTATAGCTGAAGTCTGTGCTGAGGCCAGTGAAGTCAAATGCAGAGACAGTCTCTAAGCCACGTGGAGCTAGTCTTGTAGAAACCGGTTCCCACCGGACGGAGGCCACAAAGTCCCTTTCCGGGCAGGACAACTCTCTCAAAGAGGCCACGAGATCCACATCAGCACCTAGCAAGAGAAGGCGATACAGTAGGGATGTGTCTGATGGCAAAGAGCCTCTTGGCAACCTTCCTGGCAGAGGCAGTTCTAGTCTCCTTCCGGAGGTGCAATACCTTAAGCCTGGCAGTGTTACCACATCGCAGACATCCTCAGAATTAACAACAAAGGAGTGGAAGCAAGTATGCCGAAGCTGTATATTAGAGTCTTTTCCCTCCTCCACAAATATTGGCTATTAAAATGTTGACATTTGAGAAATAATCTTCAAAAAAACAACTTGGAAACGTGCTTTTGAGATAATGTAATGGGCACACTCATTACTTTAATATCAAATTATAGTTGCTAGAAGCTTGCAGACAAAACAAAATGGCTGGTTTGTCAAGTCAGTATGTGAGTGCTTAAATGAACACCCATTCATGCTTTGAGGATGATGTTGGGCTGAATCAAAAGGGTATAAGGGTTCCTTCACAGAATGGGTTCTCCAATGGTATACTCTATAGGTGTACTCCCTCTCTCTCATCATGTGAGGGGTGATTGTTTGAACACCCCTTATATAAAACACAGTCTGAGTTTTGTATTCCCCCTGCCCTCACCCTCAAACCTCTTTCATCTACCTTTGCCTTTTTGAAATACAATGCCTATTTTGAATTCTTCCTTTAGCTCCCTTGCCTCAGGGCTCCCTGCACTTTAGTTTCCTTGCCACCTGGAATCCCTTCTCAGATGCCAATGCACTTCCAGACCATCACTGTTGAGATCCAGTCACATGTTGGCAAATTCAGGCTACACAACAAACTGCCTTCCCCAAGAGATCAGAATTTTTGGAAGAAGGGAAATAGTGGGAAAGGCCCTTGTTTTGATGTAAGGTCATCTAACCTCCCCACATACAAACTGGAATGAATGTTTATTAAATTTCCAGTGTTGTCTAATCTTCCTGTGAACAAATCAGGACATAAGCTCAGCAAACAGGTTTGTCTGGATGCCCCCCTCAGGCAACCTCCCCCAAATCCAAAGACTTTATGAGGTTTAACTGCAACCAAACAGATATATTTTCCTTTCCCTCAGAGAGACTGAACTGCAAACATTCCTTATGTGAGCCAACATTCTGTGCCACCATACCAACTTACCTATTCAGTGCCATAAGGTTTCACCACCACTAGTACAATAAAATTATATTGTTTTGAACTAAACACAGTTAGGATCCTCACATCCCGATGATTCATATTTCTTTCTAAGGGTTTTATTCAACATAGTGTTGTCACAGCAAGGGTTTGCAATAGGGCTGTGCGACTTTCCAGTCTTAGGGGTTCCCCCAAGCCTCTGGAGTAGCTTTAGGGAGTGTATGGGGAGAGGAAGGGGAGGGAGTCCCATTACATGCTGTGATGGGATGACCTTGTAGATACCTGCCAACCTCTGCTTTTTATTATTTACATTATTCCAGCGATGGATGGTCACTAGCATTTTGTTTACTTGCTATTGAAAGGTGGTGGATATTCTCTGGAGTGATCCGAAACATCAGAATGGATGCACACCAAACAAATTTCGAGGAGGAGGTTGTTACTTCGGACCAGATGTTACTGCCAGGTTGCTAAGACGTTATAATTTGAAAATGCTCATCCGGTCTCACGAATGCAAACAGGATGGGTATGAGATCAGTCATAATGGAAAGGTAACCAGAAATTTACAGATTTAATTTCAGAGTCTTGACAGCTTCATTTATTGTAAGTCTCTGGGCTTTTCTGAGTAAGGCAGGAGCTTCTGACTGCCAGATGCAAGTCACTAACCATATCTGTGTGGTACTTGTGATCAGCACAGAGTCTTTGTAATCTACTAGGCCCCATCTGCAGTATACATTGAAGGCAGTATTATACCACTTTGACTTCCCCCTAAATAATCCTGGGAACTGTAGTTTAAGGGTGCTGAGAGTTGCCAGCCACTCCTAATTTTTGTCTTCACCTCTCCCCCCTTATTTTCCACTGAGCCATTTAATGGCTCAATCATGGGCACCAATCCATACTTCATTAAATGGCTTGGAAGATCATCTGCAGGGGTGTCATTGGTTTTCCCCTGAGTTGGTGAGGCTCATTTGGCACCAACACAAAATAATAGACCCTTCAGTGTCATTGGCCCAGCCTTGTGCTCTACTCGGCCAGTAGAGATTCAGCAGGTGTTTCAGCCTTTAAATGCAAGCTGAGAACTTTCCTATCCCGCTAGGCTTCTGCAGGCAATACAGTATGCATCTTTCCAAAATAGCTGATAATAATCTGATTTGAATTTTTATTATATATAGATCTTACTGTCAACCTCTTTGATTTTGTAATGATATAGTGGTATATAAATATCTGTATAAATAAATAAAGTACTTGGAACATAAAGAAGGCTGATTGACAAAGAATTGATGCTCTTGAATTATGGTGCTGGACTCTTGAGAGTCCCATGGACTGCAAGAAGAACAAACCTATCCATTCTGAAGGAAATTAGCCCTGAGTGCTCACTGGAAGGACAGATCCTGAAGCTGAGGCTCCAATACTTTGGCCACCTCATGAGAAGAGAAGACTCCCTGGAAAAGACCCTGATGTTGGGAAAGATTGAGGGCACAAGGAGAAGGGGATGAGAGAGGATGAGATGGTTGTACGGTGTTCTCGAAGCTACCAGCATGAGTTTGACCAAACTGCGGGAGGCAGTGGAAGACAGAAGTGCCTGGAGTGCTCTGGTCCTTGGGGTCATGAAGTGTCAGACACGACTAAACAACAACAACAAACAAATAAATAAAATAATTCGTTCAGGACAAATGTAGGTGTGAAACTTGCCCTTGAACTCAGTAGAAGAGCTGTGCATGTTTATCACATGGAGTTTCTGCTGAGCTGTTTTCTTCAGTGTCCTAGAGAAAGACAATGTGCCCAGTACTTGAATTAAGGTTTTTGTTTTGTTTTTGTTTTGTTTTGTTAAAGCCTGATGCACAAAGAGACTCATGACCCTGGATGTAATCTCAAATACAAAGAACATTTCACTTACCTAGTATCAGCCATGGAAAGGGTGCTTTCATTCACAATATTAGCCTTTGTCATACTTATGAATATTGCTTCGTTCAGCCTACAACTTGTTTAAAATCTTGCCAGATCAAGCTTGAAATCCTCATTACTTAAACTGCATTTTTGTTTCCTTTTAAAAAACTAGGTTATCACTATTTTTTCTGCTTCAAACTACTATGCAGAGGGAAGTAATCGCGGTGCTTACATCAAACTAAACCCAGATCTGATCCCTCGTTTTGTTCAGTATCAAGTCAGCAAATCGACACGCAAAGAGACTCTTCATCAGAGGTAGGATAAGGAGGGCACACATATTAGTTTTTAAAGATTTATGAACAGAACTGAAAATGCAAAACTGTCCCCAAGGCTCTGGTCCACCACCAGTGGTCACTGAGCTTCATTCATGGCAGCTGGTGTGGAATTGTGGTTGAAGATGGGAGACAGCACATCCATCATATTAAATAGTCAAATTTATTTTTAACTGTATTGTTAGTGCTTCTTTTATTTTTATTTTGCATTTTTTTTGTATTATAGTCTGAATTCTATGGAATTGCAATTTATACAATGGGCAGAAAAATCATTAAATGGTCTGCCAAAACCCTCAGCAGTTTTAAAGCAGTTCATGGTTTGGGAGCTACTCTTCCAAAGTAAAGAAAGTTGATGGAGGAAGTTAGTAAATGCTGAGTTGCTGTTAAACAGCTCAGGAGAGATTTTTTGATTCTTTAACTGTCCATTCTAATCACTTTCTTCCCTTGTAGGGTGACTGCAATTGAGCTGTCTGCTTTGAAGTGCTTGCGAGAGAAACTTTACACACACAAATCGGAACTGATTGCTGCTTTTAGACAGTACGATCCAAATTATACAGGTAACACAATTTGAAAGCAGCACTTCGCAGTTGCTCCATTTCACTGTAATGTAAGTGACTGTATTTATGATGGATCAGTGGGAGATAGAAGGCAAATCAACAGAAAGCAGATGTTAGAAGCAGATGCATAGAGTTTGTAAGAGAAGGACATAAGTGGCAGGACCCCCCCCCCCAAGATTTGCATTTCAGCAATACTAACAATTAGGTAGCTGAGAATGGTGGGTTACATCAAAGGATGTTTGACAATGGACAATGCTGCCCAAGACATTCTGCCACTTGAAGTACAATCCAACAGTGCTCAACACCACCACCCCCGCACTGAAAGCCAACACCATTCATTTACACCAATTTCTGCCTTCATCTATTCTCCCTCGCCCTGTAATGCTATCTGAAGAAGGTTGTGTCAGGGCTAGCCCTGATGATGAAAACCCAAGCAACTCCTAAAGGTTTTTAATCAGGCAAGAAAATGGCAAACGGGGTTTAATAAGTGGGAAACGATGCACACTGGAGTTGAAAAAGGTCGGTGGGAAATATTTGGACATATATTTGAAGGAGGATTGGCTACACACTTTTTCTTAGCAGGTAGCCAACTTTTAACATTTGCTGCCAGAAAATAAGGGAAGTAGTCTCTGACAGTAGAGGTTTTGTAATTGTGATTGGAGATTCCAGATAAGCGTCTTTAAAAGAAAAATCTCTTTTAGATAAGTACTGGAAATTGCACAGATGGCACCAGTGAAATAAAGTCTGTCCATCAGTTGAGGGATTGGTGCCCTCTATATGCAATTTAGTCTAATTACATGGACAATCATAGCCAGATCCAGAATCCACTCTGCTAATCCTGGGAGCTGCAGGATGTTCGGCTTGTGCACATGAATGGAACCCTTTCATGCACACAAGAAAAATTTGGATATTAAGCTACCCTCTTGAATGAGGTGGCAATTCTTGAAGGCATCAGAGCTTTCCCCCCCCCATGTGTTTTGCAGTACACATATGCAAGAAAAAAATTGTATTAGAGAATTAATTTTTCAGTTTACAGTGCGATCTTTTGAAGTGAGCAAGTTTCTCGTTAATATCTGATGCATCTCTGATGTAAAAAAAATAGATAATATTATGAACCGTCCCCCTGGTAGGCTCCAATCTGATGTCCTTAAAATAAGTGATTGCTTTGATCTCAAATCATGTTCATCTAGGCATATCAGATGGAATGAATTCTGTTGCAATTCCTCATCTTGCATTTCAGATGGATAAGGCATTTCTTGTCTTGCATCTTTTAAAAAAAGTTAACTTGCAGATCTTCACAGAAGGAAAGTATCCCAAGAAAGTCTCTCTGGGCAGTCACGGAGGCTCCCCTGAGCAACATGGGATGGGGATATGTGTGGGATCAGCCAAAATTAGGCTGGGGTTCAAAGATGGTAGGTTAAGGATGTTCATGGCAGGAAAGTTTGCAGCCTTTTCTCTCCACCTATGTCCCATTCCATGTGGTTCAGCAAGACCCATATGGCTCCAGAGAAGGTTCTCAGGGAGCTGGTGTTGTGGTCCAGGACATAAAAATTGCCTTCTGTACCTTACCTTGTTAGGATCCAAGCCATTGAGTTTTGCAATTTATTTTAAATTAACAGTTTTAACATTGTTATTTGAGTGTGCAGAACTCTAGAACTTCTCCTGCAATCATATAATCTATTCTCAGCGTAGTGACTCAATAAGAAATTCACCTGCTTCCTTTTGACCATAAAATGCTCTTTGTTTGTTTATTTTTGACAGGAAAGATTTCTCCTGGTGAGTGGGCTTCAGCAGTGGAGTCTGTCTTATGTCTCGATCTTCCCTGGAGAACATTACGTTCACGGCTGGTTTACCTGGACCAGGATGGTAGAGTTGAATACCTTTCATCTTTTGACAATTTTGAAATCCAGCTACCCATCAAAGAGGTGAGATAGTTTAGGAAACAGCTGACTTTCTCAGCCTTGTTAAGATGTTTTACAATAAGATCTTGTAATAGCACTTAATTCTATTTAGATTCTTAACCCGAGGTACTATTTCTGGGTTAGTGGAGTCTGTAACCTGAAGCATCTGCAACCCGAGGTACCACTGTATTCTGATTTCTGATAAAACATTTTTCAGGTCCAGCCATTTTTGGTGGAAACCCTGTGTAGATACAAAGCTGATTTGGAGATTATCTTTAATATGATTGACAAAGATCATTCAGGTATGTTAAAATCCAGTTTCCCAAAGTGATGCATTGGAAGTAAACATAGATAGGGGGAGGGGGGAAATTTGAGGGATATTTGTAGAAGCTGCTTGATTTTCATCAGTATTAGAAAACATAAGCAGTGGATATGTGTGGGAACAAGGCGACTGAAAACTAGAAACATTTGTTGTCCTCCCTGGCTAGGTATTGTGTACCGATGTACTGATTTGTCCCTCTAGATCAGTGTTCAGCAAACTTTTTCAGCAGGGGGCTGGTCCACTGTCCCTCAGACCTTGTGGGGGGCTGGACTATATTTTGAAGGGAAAAAATGAACGAATTCCTATACCCCACAAATAACTCAGAGATGCATTTTAAATAAAAGCACACATTCTACTCATGTAAAAACACACTGATTCCCAGACTGTCCGCGGGCCAGATTGAGAAGGCGATTGGGCCGCATCCAGCCCCCGGGCCTTAGGTTGCCTACCCATGTTCTAGATAGAAGGCAGGGATACCATTTAGCCAGGGAATGGGTGGTTCTTCCAGTATTACAGACCATAGGTGACTATGGTTTTGCTTCTTATGTCCCCATCTTGGTTCTGTACTCTGAGGGCTGGTTCATGGTTGTACTGACCATTGAGACTGGTATAGCTAAGTACACACACTCTCTCCCATTCCCTGGTCTTGGCCTGTACAGTGATTTGGTTTGGACAGCTATGTGAACACTTTTGGGCACATCTACACAACAGTTAATTGAAGTAGTCTGTTTATTATCCAAAAAAAATGCGGCCAAGGCTTGTTATAAGATGCCTAGGCACCCTAAATTCAAGTCCAGAGTCTTCTTACATTTCCAGATTTCATTAACTCTCCAACAGTTATGTGTGTGTTCATGTTTGTGTGCGCGCGCAGTACTTTCAGTGACATACCCCTTCCTTCCAATTCTTTTTAGGTCTTATCTCTGTTGATGAGTTCCGTCAGACATGGAAGCTCTTCAACTTGCATCTGAGAATCAATGTGGATGATGAATCCATTGACAGCTTAGCCCGAAGCATTGATTTCAACAAAGATGGTAGCATTGACTTCAATGAATTTCTGGAAGCTTTTAATGTGGTCCATAAATTTGAGAATAGGTACAATCACTAAAGAAGCTGAATTCCTGACAAGCCCCTTCCCCCCGCACTGCACATTTGCTTAAAATAAATTGCTGCCTTAATACTGTTAAGTTTGATTGAGCAGCATTCCTAGAAAACAGACTGGCTGTGGAAGGCACTACTTTATGATATGTAAGTGTAGCTATTTGGCAGAATGCTGCTAATGAGATGTATAGGTAAATGGAAAAAATATGGTTAAAACACATATAAGCTACGCTGTCCACAATAACTGCTGTAGTGCCATATTAATAATCTCAGGGTTACTCTAATAATGGTTCCTTTAGATGGCTTTTTCATATGCAGTGTTTTCTTTCTTGTGAAACATACAGTTGTGTCAGACAATTTTTTTAAAATCCAATCATGTTTCAGGTTTGAAGAACAGTGTAGGTCTTGCTGGTTATACATCTCTAATGGGGCAAAACTGATATCCCGTGATCTAGAAAACTAGCAAAAATTAAGCGGTCCTTTTTGTGTTGTTTCTAGAAAAAGTCCATTTGCAACCTCATTCACTTGGAAAACCATAGTTTTACATTGTAACTTTCCCGCAGTTTTCATGATCTCAGCACTGCTGCTCCTGTGACAAAAACTGGGGCAGTGTCCCAGCATACAGTTCTTCTCCATGATTTAAAATTTACTGGAATGTGGCAGTATATTGATTTAAAAGCCACTGTTTCATATTGCAGCGGGTAGCGCGGTGTAAAAGGAATGTTAGAAATTGGGACAGAAGTGCTAGCATTATAACCAATAAAATTCACACTTCTGCATGGAGCCTTAGTTTCAAAAACAACTGATAAGAGACATCTAGGTGCACTAGTATAAAAGAGTTGTTGCTAGTGGTCTTGTACTCGGCATCCCTCAGCCAAAAAAATCAGTGCAGGAGTATAAGACTTAACCCACCCCTTTAATTCAAAATGGCATCCAGTTGTAGCCAAACATAAAGCAAAATCACCTGCTTCTTGATTTCATGATCTATCAATCAAATTTGGTCACAATATCTTAAGGTTACACAGAGAACAGGTGAAATACTTCCCAAACTGCATAGATTATTTGATGACTTTCGCTAATCTGCAGTATCAAAAGTTCATTCCTTCCAAATGCTCTGGAAGGAATCGAGACTACGGTACATTCTTACATCGTAAGCACTTGTGACTTTTACATCATGCGGAACTGGCACCTGAAGTCTTAGCAGCATGCGCCTAAGATCATGAAAATGAATGAACCAAAGAGTTGCCTTAACTGCTGAACAACATGAAGAAATGCATGGGCAATAATAAAGCATTGGGAACAAACAGCTGTAGGAATGTAAATCAGAACAGGGAAACGTTCCCTTTGTTTTAAATAGCGATATGGGATGATGTGATTATCTTCTATTAATAGCATTCATTCTTAGATTAAAGGTAAAGGGATCCCTGACTATTAGGTCCAGTCATGGCCGACTCTGGGGTTGCTGCGCTCATCTCGCTTTATACAGCTCCTGGGTCATGTGGCCAGCATGACAAACCTGCTTCTGGCGAACCAGAGCAGCACACGGAAACGCTGTTTACCGTCCCGCCAGAGCGGTACCTATTTATCTACTTGCACTTTGACATGCTTTTGAACTGCTAGGTTGGCAGGAGCAGGGACTGAGCAACAGGAGCTCACCCCGTCGCGGGGATTCAAACCGCCGACCTTCTGACCAGCAAGTCCTAGGCTCTGTGGTCTAACCCACAGTGCCACCCGCATCCCATTCTTAGATTAGGCTAATGCTTATACATCCTTGTGTCCTTCACATAAAAGTAACATCCTCATTAGAAATTTGTTAATATTTTTTCCAGTGGGGAAAAGCTGTCACTGCAGCCCAGACATCCATGGATGCAGCTGAGCCGTGGGCCTGGCCTGCTTCCTTTTCAGGGTCAGAATGGGACAAAACTGGTGTGCAGCCATTGGTGGAGCATCCAGATCTCTAGGTCATTCCCAGAGCTATCCATAAAAGATGATCCCTATTCACAAATGAGTTTTCATGCACAGGTTGCCTGTTGCAATTCGATCCAGGTGAATGGTAGTTTGCTGATAAGGGGGCCACTTCCATATGGCATATATATTGATCGTTCATCCTGATTTGTTTGCACAAAGGATGCAGGGAGGTCATATGACATTGGCTATTTACTGAGTATTCATTCTGATTTGGGAATGTTATGTAATGTTGAATCAAGCGACTGGAAGGCTGGAAGTTCCCACTGTGTTGTGCCTCTAATTTTTGAAACCAATACATCCAAATGGAGCTCAGTTTACCAAAGGGTATCAATATCTTTGTAGAGATTTTGTAAAAGAAGGCACTGTTTTCCTCTTAAATCTTAAAAAAAACAAAAAACAGATTCAACGTCCAAATAGATACCTGTTTATTTGTAATTGTATTTGTATATCTGATATATTTCTGAAGTGAAACACATTTAGACCTGGTTAGTGCCTGGAAAAAGACAGCCAAAAAATATAATTAGAAAAGAAAAGAAATACACAAACATGAATCCATACTTGACTCTTAACCCTGTTTATTCCCACCCCAGAGTGTCCGGTTTGTGCACCTGTCCAAATTTGACGCTATCCCAAAACAAACATTTTGCACACTTCGAGGCCTTAAGGTAAGGGCAGTGCCAGAACTCGCACTGTGCAGCACTGTACACTTTGTGCATGTGTTTGTGTCCCTAACCTGCTTTTCAAAAGGAAGAGGCAGGGTGTGTGTTGCTTGTTGTATCAGCGTCTCAGCTTGTATGTAGCCATGTAATTCACCTTCTGTGCCTTTAACCCCTGCCTTGCCTATGTACTGCTCATATTTATGCATTAAAGATTTGGACAGAAACCTGAGTTCGAGTTCTTCATCTGGCAGTGAGGGCCAGGGGCAGAATCTTACCCAAATGTCTGGATTTTATTGCTTCACAGTTTCTCTCTCATACGACTTCATACCAATATACCATCCCAGTGCAATGGACCTGTAATATTTGCTTCTAGTAACATAAAGCGTCTGTCCATTAGACCTGGTAACACAAGCTCAAGGCCTGTAATATCTTTGGCGGCAGCAGCAACCTGGATCTGAACATTTGAACAAGTCTCTCTGGCTGGATTTGCTATCTCATTTGCAGTGCCATGGATATTTTTATTTTAGTGTAGCCTGAATTACAGACTGGATTTCTGCATGGGTAAGAATTCTACCACAACCAATGGTACTGACAGCTGATTCAACCATATATGGAATTAATGGGCTCATGTAATTTGGATATAACTTTAATCCATAGTTAAGCTAAAATATGGTTTAAATGAGACCATGCAGCACTCTGGTACAAGCCAGTGAAATAATGGGTAGTTTGCTTCTCCCATGCTCCTCCTACTGTTGTGTTGCCATGAGCTAAGCCATGGTATGGCTTATTATGTCCAAACCCAGGCGTGTTCACATTTAAACCGCAGTTTAGTTAAACTATGATTTAAAGCGCTGTGCAAACCAGGTCTACAACTTGCAGGTGAATGGTTGAACTGTGCCCATTTAAAGATACTGGATCTTTAAGCAAGGATGACAAATGAGGAGGAAGATGTCTGGCTCAAGAAGCCAATCCTACTCACGAAGGCTTAGGGACAGGCTTGATACCCAGGCATACATAAATGAGCACAAGCTGCTCTTCTGTTAATGTAATTCAAAATAAAGGGGAGGGATGTGTGTCTGTATTTACCTCAGAGCAGGCTTCCTCAAACTCAGCCCTCCAGATGTTTTGAGACTTCAATTCGCATCATCCCTGACCACTGCTAGCTAGGGATCATGGGAGTTGTAGGCCAAAAACATCTGGAGGCCCGAGTATGAGGAAGCCTGCCTTAGCGGTATCTTTCCTACAAGTGGCCCATTCACACAATCATTTTGCCCCCCCCCCATTTGCTGATACAGTGGTACCTCAGTTCTCGAACGTAATCTGTTCTGGAAGACCATTTGAGTTCTAAAACATTTGAAAACCAAGGTGCAAAGGGCTGCCTGCAAATTCAATTGAGAAAATTTAAAAACACACAGCGGAAGCCGTTTGACTTCCAAGGCGCATTCAAAAATGGAAGCATTTACTTCCAGGTTTTCGGCGTTTGGGTTCCAAAACGTTTGTCAACTGAGATGTTCAAGAACCGAGGTACCACTGTACACATTATAAACACATGCTGGTATGAGATATTAGGGACTGCTCCCCATCTCAGCACTTCTAGAACTTAGTAACTCAAATCAGGAACAACTTTGTTAGCGAAGGAAGTTTCTTTTTTTATATCTCTCTCCACACAGATATTTAAAAGGAATATAACAAAGCCATTCAATTATTCATGTATGTGATACATAATTCAATACAGCATTAAAAAGTGAATGCCCAGACATCTAACTATTGGGCAATTGCACGCAGGACACCACGTGCTGTGAATGTATATAACATGCAATTTTGTGCCCTGTGTGCTGTGTTATATATTGCAGTTGCTTGCTGGCATGCTGAAAATAAAACATTTCTAACATAGAGCTATAAAGTGTCCATCCACAGGTATGTGAGAAAAAAATAGTTTGTACCAAAATAAGATTAATGAAATATTCAGAGGCCTAGTGGGAAAACTAGGCAGTCTACAAAAGCCGCCTAAGCACTCAAAAAGCAAGTCTGATGAGTTGAAAGGGGAGTGGGATGGTTGAGTGAGTGGGAGGCTCCACATGGCTGAACATCTGATGCCTGTTTGGAAGAAATCCAAGCTTCCTGCAGTTTACACTCTGAATTTACACTGCAGCAGTTGAGATCTCTTTAAGACATCTGGAAACATTGACCCACTTGCTCAAAATTGCAAATAATAGACTGTAGCCACTAGCCAGTTAAAGCAACGGCATTTTGTATGAACTGAAGTCAAAGGAAAACACGTGCTTTCTTGCATGGCTGAAAGTGCAGTTCCGGATAGGACTCACTTCATTTGGCCCTTCACTGTGTGCGCTGGGAAGAAACAAGTTCACAGGGCTATGAATGGATGTAGGACAGGCTTGATTCTGACTTGGTCTGGGCACACAATCTTAAACAAACACGCAAGTTTCATTTGTTCATAAAATATGTATCTGCTTTCTTTCCCAATAAAAGTACGGTACATCGAAAGGCAATAGACATGGACAGATTGGTAAGAATGAAAGGGTGGATCCTGTTGACAGCAATGAGTAAGTGTCATGAATAAATTAATAAAGCCAAGTGCATAAATATATAAGCCAAATCCACTGATGTCATAGCCCGTGGTTCTTGTCTGTGGCTTCATTACAGTTCCAGACAGGGAATGAAGCATGCACAGTTCCCAATATGTGGCTGTACAGAGAGCAATGAAGTAAA